ATGGATCAATTTTTTCATCAAGAAAATGAGAAATTTGAACTACAAAACTCCATTTTTATCTTCATGATTTCTGCACAAACTTCACTTACGTACCTGCCCAAGAATGACCCTAGAAAGTCATAATGAGACTGGGTGACTCTATCATAATCAGCTTGTGTGGCTTCTTTTCCATGTGAATGACCTCCCAAGTACACCACATATGACTATACAACGGGACCAAGAAAAATTAAAAGAAATAACATCAAGGAAAATTAGGCTGAGCTAGGCTGCAGATATGCATTGGTAAACTAACATCAAGGAAAATAACATCAGTTTGTAAAACGTATAAAAAAATTGTTGATCAAAATAAATTGGTTTCAGTGAGGCTTCAGATATGTTTACCTTCTTGACGGAAAATACGTGGCCGATCAAGAGTACCAAAACAAGCGAGCGAAGATAAAGAGCGGGAATATGAGTACTAGCTTTCATGGCTCCTTAACTTTCAGGTCTTTTTAGTTGAAGTTATAGGCTTCCACTTTTCTTACAATGGTGTAGTTTACGCGTTTATCGNAAAAAAGGGATGTAGTGGCTGCAGATATGCATTAGTAAATTAACATCAAGGAAAATAACATCAGTTCGTAAAACGTGTTAAAAAAAATTGTTGATCAAAATAAATTGGTGTCAGTGAGGCTGCAGATATGTTTTACCTTCTTGACGGAAAATACGTGGCCGAGCAAGAGTACCAAAACAAGCGAGCGAAGATAAAGAGCCAAAATATGAGTACTAGCTTTCATGGCTCCTTAACTTTCAGGTCTTTTTAGTTGAAGTTATAGGCTTCCACTTCTCTTACAATGGTGTAGTTTACGCGTTTATCGTGTAAATTAAGTTGTGTCAAAAGCAAGATCGAAATAGAGTTTTGAGAAGATTTTGTGCTGATCTTAATATCTTCAAGCAATCATGATCCTAGAGCATCATAATCTCCTTGAATATTAGAGATTTGTGACTTGTTGTTATTTGTATATGAATTTTAAGGATTAATATATTTTACATGCATGAAAAGAGCAGTCTCAAGGCTTTGATGTCAATTTTTCTATTTCCTATGTGATCAAAGGGTATCCCTAGGTGATAATTATTAATCATCAAGTTAATGGAAAAAAAGCAGCCTCATACATTGATTTCAACTCTGTTTTCAAATGTAATTGAAAGGTATCTTAAGTTATAATTATTAATCAATACGAGTATGGAAAATAACCAGCTGCAAGGCATTGATTTCAACCTCTGTTTTCCTATGTGATGATTAAAGGATATCCATCCTAAGGTATGAACAAATAAATCAACACGAGAAAGGGAAAAATTGCACAAAAATATGTGTGCGCTTGTGAAATCTTCAAATTTCAAAGAGAATAAATGTAATTTTCTTTCAAAGATTTTTTATTTTTTCTTTCAACTTTACCCCATAAAGTCTACAGTTAACATATTATTTATATATGGATTTTTTTGCGCTTGTGAAATCTTCAAATTTCAANTACAGTTAACATAGTTCCTCTGATGTGTTTTTTGATACTTTTTTTTTTTGGGAAAGAACCCAATTTTAGTGACTAACTTTAGTTGTTTCCAATAATTTTGCATCTGAATGTATTATGGGCGTTTGTATTCTCTTGGAATCTTCATTGGCTGGATTGAAATTTTTAGCCATTTAAGTACAAGATGGCATGTATATTTGCATTATCTAAACATAATTTTCATCAATATTTGTACCATTATTGTATGAAATAGAATAATTTCAAACTCAGATAGGACTATTTATGAATTACTTTCTCAATGTGAGTTGAGATAAATATATTTCCACAGTATCTTTTTGCATATTTTAACAGTCCTAGCAACTCTGCAAATCGAAAGTTCTTCATTTCAACGGAAACAGAAAAAAAACTTGCAAGTTTTCTAAAAGAAAGTGATAAAAGGAGAGAAAAGCAAGAGACACACACACACTACAAACAGCCATCTGGGATTTGTTGTCCATAGGAAGCACCAAATACATTTAAACACTGGGCCGTTGCCTGTCCTCGACGGTTCATATACGAAAGGTTTATGTTCACCAGCTTAATGTTCTTGCACGGCCGCGTACCACTACACAGTAAGTTTACAGCTACTTTTGTTTGTGAGATGCCGCGAATGTTCTTGAACATCACATTCTCCACTTGCACAGCCGAACTAACGCCCTGTATTTTGAGAAAACGAAATAAATAAATAAAATGAGAATACGCATCGTCATTAAGACATTTGGAAGGGACAAAATCAACATTGACCGTGCGGTCCGACATATTTGCAATTTAATCGCCACCTTTGTAATTTGTC